AGTTTGAGTAAGATTCAAAATCTAAGAAGAAGAGGAAATAGAATATGATTCTGATTTCCTATTTATGGATTGTTGTAGGCTAATGGGTTAGAACCCAGTTCAGCTTAACTTGTAGGATAGCCCAACTCATGAAGTGGGCAGTTCACAAGGTGATTTTAAGCATAGGCCTAACCAGAATTGGGCTGAGGCCTTGGGCCGTAACATGTTTATTTCGTTATTGGGCCTCGTCAAGCCCAAGACGATTTTTGGCCCTCACATAACCACCGTTGCATTTGTATCATATTGGTTCATATAAGTGTGTATTGACTTAGATGAGTATTTAAGCATAATTTGAAAACACTTCACTCGACTTTATCAAAGTTAAATTAAAACTTAATTGGTCATGATTCAGGATGTAAATATATTGAAACCAAAGGAATTCAGCTTCATTGTCCCAGAGTACATCCGAGTCCTGCCACATATCTTTGTCTCTCTCTCCAAAATGGCTTTTCATCTCTCTTCAAGCTTCTGCTTATTTCTCCATCATCATAACCTTCATTTTAGCACGTCATAACATCTGTATTAGCCGTTGATGAGAAATATGTAAACTTCAGCACCCCATTTCACTGTGCAAACTTGGAGAATATTGAATATCCTTTCTGGGGAACGAGTAGGTGGCCAGAGTATTGTGGGCACCCGGGTTATGAGTTGGACTGTTAAGGCGTAGTCGCAGAGATTATAATCATGGATAGAACCTACAAAGTGCTTGACGTCAATAACACTTCTCGGAGTCTCACAGTTATTATAGAAGATTGGTGGAATGACATTTGTCTTTCAAACGCTTCTTTAATTATACTTCCGATACATAAATATAATGCTGTATTATGACTGCTCTCTTCTCGTGAAAGACATTTCGGCCTGGCTGCTTCCCTACATTTCGACCGCGCTGCTTCCCTTCAAGTTTAATTGCAGCTCGGAAGAGATAGACACCAATATTATTTCATAAGGAGCAATCATAGTGTCTGTTGGTTCGGTTGGTTCAACTGGAGAGTGATGAAGAGAGATTGTGCAAAGGAAAGAGACAACAGCAACATCAAAATGAGTGCTCTGTTTTTCATTCATAGGGTAAGGATAATATATGTACAAAACCAGTCTACCGTTCCACCTAAAACAACCTAATGCAATGGATAATTTTTACACATTTGAATTTGAAATAAACTTACAACAAAACATGTCTCAATCACAACTAAACTCAACTAAACATGTCACAAAAACATCACAATAATTCATCAAAAATAGTAGCTTCAACCACTACACTTGTAACAGCAACTTGAACACTTGGCACCAAAAACTGTTTGAAACTTTAACGGAATATTTCTGCCTTTCCAGCATATTATCACCATCTTTAACACTCCTCCTTGATAATCTTGCTGGAAACACCAAGTTTGAGTCTTAAATTCTCAAACTTGGCTTTGGATAAAGCCTTGGTCATGATGTCCGCCACCTGGTCTTCACCCCTGCAACGGTCAATTTAACTTCTCCATTACTTTCCGCCTCTCTCACATAATGGAACTTAATTTTGATGTGCTTGGTTCTACCGTGTAAGACAGGATTTTTTGCCATTGCCACGGCTGACTAGTTGTCACAGAAGATCACAGTTGGACTCCTCTGTGTTTGTCTCAAATCCTCCAAGATTTTTCTAAGCCATATGGATTGGTTTACGGCAGTAGCAGCAGAAATGTATTCTACTTCTGCTATGGACTGAGCTATGGTGTCCTGTTTTTTGGATAACTAACATATAACACATGAATTCAAGAAGAAGGCATAGTCAGAAGTACTTCTCATATCATCAATGCATCCAGCCCAATCATTGTCAAAGTATTCAACAATCTAAAAAATTTCAGACTTCTTGAACCATAAACCAAGATCATAACTTCCTTTAATGTACCTCAATACCCTCTTGGTTGCCTTGAGATGAACTTCACTCGGATTGCTCATGAACCTGTAGAGGAGGCTTGTTGCAAACATTAAGTTAGGCCTGTTGGCTATCAAGTACAATAGAAAGTCAATCAAACTTCTATAAATTCCCTCATCAATCTTCACATCCCCATCATCTTTGCTCAGCTTCAACTTTACAACCAGGAGTATGCACTCTTGTCACGTGTATTGTGACTAAATTGTACATAAATGGATCAAATGATCAGGCAAAAATGTTAAATTGAATACAAAGTGTTATATGGTAAAAAAATAAGGTATGAATTTTTGATATGTGTCTTGTGACTAAGCAAACAGGAGTATGCACTCTCGTCACATGTACTGTGACTATGCATTTGTGTATATCACGTGTCAAACATAGAAGGAGTTACTTCACTTGTAAGATTGATATAGGTTGTTTCAACAGTAAGGCTCAGGACTAAACTATTATCTAGATCATGTGGTATCTTATGAGAGGACTATTTCAATATTAAGTCTCCAGTAAGAGTGATTTGTCAGATTTTCATGAGTAAGACCACCCATCCAACATTATAAGTAAGGGTCCTTCACCCCAAATCAGGGATCCAAAATTTCATTTTCTTAACAGCTAAAGAGCAATTGTTTCTCTTGAGAGCAAATATCTTTTGTAAACACATCAATAAGATAACAGTGAATATATGATTTGTTCATTGCATCCGAAACCAATTTAAAAATTGTTTCTACTCTTTTTATTTATTTTCACGCATTATTGTTATTATTGCCCATCGGTTCAGCATCATATTTCGCGGTCTTGCACAAACGCTTTGTTCGAACTCCCACAGAAAGCTCACGTACTTATTGTTGGTGCGAAAAATTGCAACAACATAAAGTATTATATTATTTATGTTGTTGTTCAATAATATTATGTAATTCATATTTATTTTAAAAATACCCATATATATTCGTTGTATATATGTCTCGGATGTAACTATAACTAAATAAAAAAAATGGTCTATTTATTTATTTAAAATTTTTTTTTTTTTTAACATACTTCGCAAGAACAAAAATGGTCGATATGATTGGTGCCAAAAAAAAAAAAATTGAATGGCTATGAAATAAGTTTGGATTTTGGGCCTAAATTTGGCACGGCCTAACGGGTGTGCAATTTCGGCCTGACCCATTACAATTAGCTGATCCAATTGAATCAAAGATTCAAAGTCCAATGATAGAGAGCCTTTGTCGATTGAATATTGTTATTTGTGCCAGTGATGTTATTTAAGCCTCGTTATTTAATTGCACATAATCCCTTTGGAGAGAAACCATTTAAATAATAAGGGGCCTCCACTAAGTAAAAGAGAGGCTGCATGAAGGACACCTCATCCACAAACAATACATGGAAGAGGAAACTTGACAAGGTAATTTGTCCACAGTCCCACTACATGAAGGAGCAATTACGAAGTAAAAAGGGTATGAACAAAGTACTCAACTTCTCACCAGAAAAGGTTCATTCACTCTATTTTTATTATCATTCTTTCAAGAATATTTTGGGGTTAATTATTATCAATTAATATACACTTAAAAAAGGGGGGAAGCCAAAGGGCTGGCGAGTCTAGTGTCATAGAGGTGGAATGTGAATGCATGGGTAGCTATTTCGAGGTAAGGCTTCGTACTCGATTGGATTTAATTAACTAACTTGAACGTTAAAAGGTTCCACCAGTGACACCCCCACTAAGCCCCTCCACTCTATTGTTGCACAGTAGGTCAAATTTCAAACCTTAGAGCTGAAATGAGAACCAATGGATTCCAAGAAACAAAAAGACCAGTCACCCGAACGACCAATTTTGAGCATCAAATATGATGAGCTATAAAGATTAACAAGAAGCAACACGTTTTCTTTTCCCCGTAACTTGTGCTTTGAATTATGAAATTTTATGCAGTAAATATACATTCCACACATCCACCCACTACTTTCCTACCTAATAAAGCAAAGCTTTCCCACAAATTTATATCTACTACTTATTAATTATTTAAAGAATCTATCATTTTAAATTCATAAATGCTAATTTATCATTTTAGATTTATTAACATGACCTTAAGACAGATTGATTATTTATGTTCAACTAGTATTTGTTGAGTCTTAATTGTATCATAATTAATTCTTTGATTAAGACTTTGACTAATTGGTTTTAATTGATAATGACACTGGACTCTTCCAACCACTGTCAGGAAATTGCCAAGGAAATCCCCAAATAGGATTTTTGCCCCAGGCAGCACGTTATGATGTGTATGAAACGAAGAAAAATAACATATTCAACCTTGTAAGGGTCTAGTTGAATATATTTTTTAGAAATTTGACTGAATTCTGGCGACAAATATTGGGCTCTTTGTGTGTTTGGTTTGACAGTGGATAGTCTTTATTCTCTGCATATCAGCCTGTTACAGTAAAAGCTTGGAAATTGTTGTCTAGTGGGGGCAAGCTCAAACAATACGTATTAACAAGACTTGAGTCTCCTTATGGGTTTAGGAGTTTGGTCTTGATTATTAACGTGTATTGATTTATACTCAAGTCTAGGTTCATATGACTTTAATTTGTGCCTTGCTTTTTCTTTCAACATGACTTAATTAATTAGTCCGTGTTACACATATTAAGTTGTTGTTTTTCTCTAAAATACCGAGTAAAGGACTAAAGGAGGAAACTTCAACCCACTTGTGAAACACGCAATAGCCAAGACTATACACGTTCTCATTACTTTTTTCATGAACAATTTATTGTACCATTAAACATGTTTTGTATACTGCCATCAATATTGTTTTTGGCTTCTGATGCTCTATTAAAACGAAACTGGACTTGATGTATACAAGTCCAGCATTGTTGTATATTATACAATGTGGGCGGGTTTGGACATAGAATTCAGTGAGATACAATCTGTATTGGGTCGTTATTGATAAGTTGGTTATATTTATTTTCGAAGGAGACTCATATCGTAGTTGGACTAGTCTCTGCAAATCAAAACCAAACATGGTTGGAAAAAAAGGAAGTACGTGAAGATAAAGTCATCAAGTCAACTATACACCCAAAATTTCAAAGTCTTTCTATTGCTTTCCTTTTATCTTCCAAAGATGTGATGTAACTCTTAGTTTCTTCTATATTTTCTTGGTATCAATGGATTCAGTTCCCTCATGATTCATTCTCCCCAGGCCTTACTCCTACCAGAAATGACGAGTTTCCAACTTTTCTCCTCTTCGCCTTTTCTTTGTGATCTAGGCTTTCTAATACTAGTTCTTGTCAATATTCAGTTATCTTTAAGCAATCCTGATTTTTTATTTGAAGATTGTAGACGTCAATTCACGTGCGGGAGCATCGAAGTTGGTTATCCTTTCTGGGGAGGCGAAGGCACACAATACGGTCGCCCAGGGTTTTGTGGCCACAAGGACCTGGAGCTTCATTGTAAGGATGATACGACATTCATTATGATCAAACGCGTTGAATATCGTGTTTTGCATATCTCTGAGTCAGCGAAAGTTCTAAAGATTGCGAGACAGGACTACTTGAGCGGCAACTGTCCATCTGATGAATTGGTTAACACCACCTTTGAGTCGACACTTTTTGAATATTCTCCTCGGTATGAGAAATTCACATTACGTTATGGTGTCCCTCGTGGTCAAATATTTTGCTCCATAGAGGAGATGGAGAAGAACTTCAATTATACGGATGGTTTAATATCAACACTCGGATCTGGTTTTATGAATTTTAGTGTCACTGTTCCGGTTCTTAAAACTTTCCTTGAAAAAGCAAATCGAAGTCTATCAGTTGTGGAAGAAGCCCTGAAACAAGGATTTGAAGTGGAATGGAAAGTGAATGACATGGCATTCTGTGATAAGTGCAATCAATCCAGTGGAAGTTGTGGTTATGATAATATCTGGAATCAAACAACTTGCTATTGCCCCCCCTTTCAAGAAGCATGTCCAACCTCGCCTATAGGACTACCCCCAAAAGGTCCTCCGGATACTTCAGGTAAGTGCCTCAATTTTTAGGGCAGTGCTAATTACTATACCAAAATGAGTTCTAATTAATTTACACAAATTAAAGGAACATTATTATTATTATCATTATTTTAGAGTCAAACTTCTAATCATACGCAGCTCAAGCCACAGACCCTAAACTTTGGTTTTAATAAGGGTCAAGGTCATGCATCAACTTTCACACACAATCAAAAGAGCACCCATTTTAATAGTATTCCTATCATAGCAGATACTCATGCCTTAGACTCAGCAAATAAGATTCCCTGATATCAGAATTAAGCATTATAGATGGTAAAGCGAAGCATTTTTGTTGTTTAGTCAATAAAAAGCTCTTTAACAACCACTAACCACTAACCTCTAACTATAAACTTCATGTTCAACCGAGGCTAATCCACGAATATTGCAAAGGAAATCCCAAAGGATTTTTGCCCCAGCAGCACGTTATGCTGTGTATGAACGAAGAAAATAACATATTCACCTTGTAGGTCCAGTTGAATATATTTTTTAGAAATTTTACTGAATTCTGGCGACATATTGCGCTCTTTTTGTGTTTGGTTTGACAGTGGATAGTCTTTATTCTCTGCATATCAGCCTGTACAGTAAAGCTTGGAAATTGTTGTCTGGTGGGGCAACCTCAAACAATACTTATTAACAACTTGAGTCTCCTTATGCTTTTAGGAGTTTGGTCTTGATTATTAACGTGTATTGATTTATACTCAAGTCTAGGTTCATATGACTTTAATTTGTGCTTTGCTTTTTTTCTTCAACAAGACTTATTTAGTCCGTGTTACACATATTAGTTGTTTTTTTCCTCTAAAATAACGAGTAAAGGACTGAAGGAGGAAACTTCAACCACTTGTGAACACGCAATAGCCAAGACTATACACGTTTTCATTACTTTTTCATGAACAATTTTTTTCACCTCTACTGTAATTTCACCCCGCACATATTGTAACATTAAACATGTTTTGTATACTGCCATCATATTTTTTTGGCTTCTGATGCTCTGTTAAAACGAAACTGGACTTGATGTATACAAGTCCATATGTTATCAAAATATTATACAAGGTGGGCGGTTTGGATATAGAATTTGTGAGATACAATTTATTATACAATCTGTCTTGGGTCGTTGTTCATAAGTTGGTTATATTTTATTCTGGAAGGGACTCATATCGTAGTTGGACTAGTCTCTGCAATCAAACGCAAACATGGTTGGAAAAAATGCAGTACGTGAAGAAAAGTCATCAAGAATCACTATGCACCCAAAATTTCCAAGTCTTTCTATTGCTTTCCTTTTATCTTCCAAAGATGTGATGTTACTCTTAGTTTCTTCTATATTTTCTTGGCATCAATGGATTCAGTTCCCTCATGATTCATTCTCCCTAGGCCTAATCCCACCAGAAATGACGAGTTTCAAACTTTTCTCCTCGTCGCCTTTTCTTTGTGCTCTAGGCTTTCTAATACTAGTTCTTGTCAATATTCAGTTATCTTTAAGCAACCTGGTTCATTTGAAATTGTAGACTTCAATTCACGTGCGGGAACATCACAGCTGGTTATCCTTTCTGGGGAGTCAGGCACACAATACGGTCGCCCAGAGTTATGTGGCCATGTCTGGAGCTTTATTGTAAGGAGTTACGACATTCATTATGATCAATCATGTAGAATATTGTTTTTAATATCTCTGAGTCAGCGAAAGTTTAAACATTGCGAGACAGGACTACTTGACGGGATCTGTCCATATGATGGATTGGTTAACACCACCTTTGAGTCGACACTTTTTGAATATTCCTCTCGTATGAGAAATTCACATTACTTTATGGTGTCCCTCGCGGTCAATATTTTTGCTCCATAGAGAGATGAGAAGAACTCAATTATCGGATGGTTTAATATCGACACTCGGATCTGGTTTTATGAATTTAGTGTCACTGTTCCGGTTCTTAAAACTTTCCTTGAAGAAGCAAATCGAAGTCATCAGTTGTGGAAGAAGCCCTGAAACAAGATTTGAAGTGAAGTGAGGTGAATGGCATGGAAAACTGTTCTAAGGCATTCAATCCCATGGAATTGTGGTCCTGGACCTCCTGGTCTCTGGAATCAACCAATTTGCTATTGCCACCTCAATCTTTCCCCTTCAAGATCAACGGTATGTTCAACCTTCCTCCACCAAAGGTCCTCCAGATACTCAGTAAGTACCTCAATTTTTATGGCAGTGCTAATTACTATACCAAGAGATTCTTAGTTTACACAAATTAAAGGAACATTATTATTATACATTATTTTACAGCCAACTTCTAATCATACGCATCTCGAACCACAGACCCCGACTTTGGTTCTAATAAGGGTCATGGTCATGCATCAACTTTCACACACGGTCAAGAAGCACCCGTTTTAATAGTATCCCTATCATAGCAGACACTCATGCCTTACACTCAGCCAATAAGATCCTTGATATCAAAATTACCACTATAGATGGTAACGCAAGCATTTTTGTTGTTTAGTCAATAAAAAGCTCTTTAACAGCCACTAACCACTAACTATAACTTCATAAACTTTATGTTCAACCGAGGCTAATCAGACGCCTAACAAAATAAAAGTAGAAGAGGAATTTGGAAGCAAAACGATTGGTTTACGCAGTGCAAATTTCAGAAATCTAAAACCACCTTGTCCTTATACAGAAATCAGAATAAGTTACGCTATCTCTTTCGATGTCACTATCCTTAATTTAGCATCATATTAAAGCATTACTGCAAAGTGTGTGTCATCATAGAGAGTAGTTAAAAGTTTGACAAAGTCTATTTGACTGCAAAATCACTTAAGCTCATGAGTTTTTCTTTTACTTCATAGTAGGATCACTCCCTCAATAACAAGTCATCAACAGATGTGAATTCATAATTATATTGAATTTAATAATATCGGCCGTCTTAGCCGCTGCAGTTTCAATAAGCCAAGTCACCCCAGTGAATTGGATTAAATTTTGTGAAACCTCTGCTCATTGATTTAGGCAAAGTATTTACCACTATGACTAGTATTAACTTTTCCTTGTGGGTATCTACTTTCTACTAATTATTTTTACATTCATGTAGACTAGATATAATATTCTAGAAATAGGTGGTTGTCATTGTTTTGATATTAATTGATTTATTCAAGTAGCAGACACTATAATATCATAATTGGTAAGTAAGACATCTTAATTCCTTCCAAAGCAAAGTCAGAGACTCAGAGTAAGTATTATAGTAGAGAAGATATTTTAATGGTCCTTGTGTCCATCTATTATTAATAGATTACGACAATAATAAATATTTGATAATTTTGTCTATCATTAAATGCATCAAGCTAGGTAAAATTTAAAAAGATGCAGAGAAATTTGTAATATACAGTTTAACTATTTTAATACATTTTATTGACCAAATGCTGGAGAACTAGAAGGTTGGAATCGATTTTATTAGTTAATCATTTCTGCGTATTTCAATAGTATACCTATGGACTATACGACATCCATTAAATGTTAGAAATCAACCCCATTTGACAAAGATGTTAACCCTTCTTGTATGTTTATGTGTTAACTTGTTGATGAATACTGAACTTATTACTATGTTTCTCTGTTCTGATCGTCCCATTGTCATTTCTCATAGCTTTTATGCCACTGTTTTATCTTTTGCTAGCATCGTGAATCATATAATTTCAGAGTTTTTGAGAAAGATAATTTGGAAACTGTACAGCTGTTGATGTGAAATCTCTGCCAAATTAATAAAATTCTCATAACGTAGACTTTTCGATTAATTATAATCTAAGCCTATTTAATATTAGCTAACACCCTGGACTAATTCCGAATCAAGCTTCATATTCTTTCAAGAGCTGTTGCAACGTCTTCTCATAATGAACGAGCAATGGAATTTCCTTCACTTTCATCACAGCTTTTATGGTTTTCTATCCATACTCTATTTGGATGATCTACCTACTCTTTCCTCCTTCAATTTCTCTCAAATGATGCACCCTCATTATTTCTCCATCACTTCTTCCTCACTTTCATCTTCAATACTCAAACATCTTTATGCACCGATGATATTCGATACATAAACTGCGTCTTCTGTGTACTGTGGGACCAAAGCATAGAAATCAACTACCCTTTCTGGGGCGTAAACCCAGATTACTGTGGTCAACCGGGGTTCCAGATAGAGTGCCAAGATGGTGTTCCCAAGATCAACATGATGTCGAATACGTTTAGAATTCTTCATTAATCACCACACAGACGTTAAGGTCGCTAGAGAGATTTCTGGTCTATTTTGTCCAGCTTTTCTCTTCAACACCACCCTTGATTTCACCCGCTTCAATTATGCCCGGAACAAAGGAACCTGACCCTATACTACGGCTGTGCTTGCCGCTCCGATCCGGGCAGAGGGTCGTATATTGTCTCCTGATTGCGCTGTAATATATCAGCATGGATGTTTTTCATGCGCCCCAGAGTGCCCCAGTTGACCCGTTAATAGTAAGAGCAATAGCAGTGTCATTGTTCCAGTTCTTGAAACAGCTGCTCAGGAACTTGATCAACGTAGAAATACCATCAACGTTACATTAGATGAAGGTTTTGAATTGCAGTGGAATTTAGGGAGCACCAATGCAGCACATGCGTCACTCCGCGGGTTTTGCGGATATAACTCAACGAAGAGTCTATTCGTTTGCTTTTGCCGTGATCAGCCCAATGCATTGATGTTCATGTAGTCCAGGACCTCCAGCAGGTTTGTTTCCTTTATTACTCTATTATAACTTGACGTCTTCCTCGAATTGATTCATCCTGAAACTCAGACCTTATATTATCTTTGGCACTTCAAAATGTTTTTTTTTTTTTTCCTCTGGTTTTTGCCAATTGATATTCATTTGTCGTTGCCCTGTTGGGGATAATAAGTTTCTTTAATACCTAACGTTGAAAGCTGTTCGCGGATGTCCTTTTTGATTTTGAGGTCCATTTACGGGTTCTAGTATCGAATTTGAGAATCTTTAAGTTTTCACACCTGACATAGGAGGTTTCGTTCAGCTTACGCCTGGAAATATATATGGAACCATCATTTATATGAGTCGATATTTCAAATATTAGTTTGGTTCACAATTTTATGTTTTTGGAAAAGTATTTTGAAAAAAGTTAAAAGAAAAAGTTGAATTAGGCGGGTATTACGATGTAGGATTTACAAATTGTAAAATACCCCTTATGTTTGTTTTTTTACAAACACCCCTATAATAAAACATTAAAGTTAACAAAAATACCCCCATCCACCTCAAATACGACAGTCACCACCACCGCCGGAGGGTGGCCGAGTTGCCGTAACAAAAACATTAAAAATATTAGGGGTATTTAATTAAATTAACAATTTAGGGGGTTTAAAAAATATTGAATAAAGTTGAATATATTATGAGTTTTTGGGTATTTTACTGTTTAATTTTTTTTGAGAATAAAGTAATATTCCCAAAATCCAACCAACGAAGCATAATTTTCTAGGCTACCTAAACTGGGGACCGCAGAAGCTTCCCGTCAGAAAAATAAAGACCTTACTTGGTCAAGTCCAACAATTATTTCTATGACGGAAAGATGTGAATGCGAACCAATTTGGCTCTATTATATTTTCATATTAACTTCCACATCTCTCTTGTCTGTCTCTCAACATGGCGCTTCATCTCTCTCCAAGCTTCTGTTTATTCTCCATCACCATAACCTTCATCTTAGTCCATGTTCCAACATCTGTTCAGCCATCATGCGAAATATGAAAACTGATCGCCCTTTTCGCTGTGCAAACTTGGAGAATATTGATAATCCTTTCTGGGGAGCGAGTAGGCCAGAGTACTGTGGGCACCCGAGTTATCATTTGGACTGCGAAGGCGAGGTTGCGAGATTAGTATCATGGAGACAAGCTACAGAGTGATTCATATCAATAACTCTTCCGGCACTCTCACAGTGCTGTAGAGGATTACTGGAATGACATTTGTCCCTCAAACCTTGTCAGCGGCACTATAAATTCCAGCTTCTTTAATTATACTTCCGATACAGGAAATATAACGCTGTATTATGACTGCCCTCCTCTTGTGAAAGACATCTCGGCCGCGCTGCTTCCCTTTAAGTTTAATTGTAGCTTGGAAGAGACAGACACCAATAATTACTATTTCATATGGGGCACAACATTGTCAATAGAACATCTTATCTTCCATTACCAGTTACTTCGAAAGTTGTGGTACCAACGTTACTATTCCGGTGAGACAGTCTGCATTTCTTTTCTTGGAGACAAATCCACTTCGGCAAAGTGAGTACCGCTCTTAAAGGGGTTTGATTTGCAATGGTACGCAAATAATACCTTATGTGACCAATGTAAAGACTCAGGTGGACTGTGTGGATTTGACACAGATGCTGATAATTCACTTGTTATTGTCCTGATAAGCCTTATTCCTGGACTTGTCCCTCAAAGGCATCCCATGTTTTTTCATTACTTGTCATCCTGATTTCCTTAATTTTGTTGAGTTAGGGGTATTTGCTTTTAGACAGACCCAGGTTCAGATGAGCAAAACTGAAACTGTTCCGAGCATTGCATATTCCTCATATTGATGCTATGTTGTTTCGTTTTTAGATATTTATATGAAGGGAGTAACCTACTGGAAACACTAATCAAATTTTATCGACTAGGTTGTAGAAAAATCTCCCTTTTGTTCAAAGTGTTGACCTTTTCCACCAAATCCAGAAAAATAACTAAGACAGGATGTTTTGTTTTCCATTTCCGTGTCTTTGCTCCTAAAACTCTTAAAAGCCAATCCTCAAAGTTCTCTTTTTCTCACTGAGAGTGTTGTCCAGCATCCTCTGCCTGTTGTTTTAGGCCC